TGATTTCTGATTTCCTCTAAAACTGAATTGTTGCCTATTATAGGATTTATTTTCTCCAGAATGATTGGTGGAGAAAATAAAGGAGAAACCGTTTTAGGACAAGATACTGGTCCTAAACTAGTCAGGTGCTGATGTAATTTCAGATGGCAAAATTATTCATTCTGGGGCTGGAGTGATAGCACAGCGGGTAGGGCATTTACCTTGCACGAGGCCGACCTGGGTTCAATTCCCAGCATCCCATATGGTCCCCTGAGCACCCCCAGGAGTAATTCCTAAATGCAGAGTCAGGAGTAAACCCTGTGCATCACTGGGTGTGACCCAAAAAAGCAAAAAGGAAAAAAAATTATTCATTCTTATTCATGATCACTTGCTACTCTCAGTCAAAAAGACTAATTCAGGCCGAGATCTCCAAGCCTACTCGGATTGGAGTCGAGCATCCTCCACCCAGATCCTCCAAATTCCAGTAGGCGGGGGTCACACCCACCAACTGGCCCCCTGGCGCCGTGTAATCCCATCAGCGGCCAAGACTCAGAGACTATAAAACCAGCTCCCGGAACCGCGCGGCCGCGCGACATCTTATTATGACATCTCATTCCTACTTTGACAAACTGGCAGGCTACCGAATGTAACCTGCCCACACGGCAGAGTCTGGCAAACTCCCCGTGGCGTGCCCAATATGCCAAATACCAGTAACAATGATAGGTCTCATTCTCCTAAAGAGCCTTGAATATAATCTCAGGGCTAGGATGAAGGAGACGTTACTGGGGCCTGCTCGAGGCAATCGACGATCTGTGAATTCAGGGGGTATGGTGCCGCCAGCAGGTCAATCTGTACCTGTGAGGCGAGTGCATCAGCAGCCTCATGGCGCCTTCAGACTTCCAGATACCCCCAAATTGCTGCTGTGCCTTTGGCCAGACCCCAAAAACTTGGGGCAAAGTTTACCAAGAAAGTAAACAGCCAAAAATTAGGTATGTGGGAAACACACCCACAAACCACCTCTGGCTCAGCTATATAATTGGAGGCAAGGCCTCTTTGGTTCCTGATTGAACTGCTTAATGGATATGATCCCAGAGACTCATAAACAAATCTCAGAACCCAGTTGCTTTAGGTAGAAATGCGTCTGGTCTCTGCAGTAGGCTACCGGTGCTGGGCCAACCCAGGTGGGAATAGGTTTCGTGCCTTGGCCTGTTCCCCCTGGCAGCCCAGTGGCCGCCATCCTTCTGAGGCCACTGGATAGTCACATTTGGGCCCCCAGTGACGAGACACACAGGGCCTCACGGGATGGGGGTGGAGCTGGGCTTGTCCTCCCCACCCCAATGAGACCTCAAGTCATCACCCACAAATGGCCTCTCTGGCTCCTGATCAAGCTGCTTAACGGCCATGATCCCAGAGACTCAGAAACAAATCTCAAAACCCAGTGGCTTTTGGCAGAAATGCATCCGGACTCCACAGTATGTTACTGTCGCTGGGCCAACCCCAGGAAGGAAAGGGTGTTGTCCCTCCGCCTGCTCCCTCTTGGCGACTTGGTGGCTGTCATCCTCCAGAGGCCATTGGACAGTCAGGCTTGGGCCCACAGTGACGAAACTTGTTGGGCCTCACGGGATGGGTGGGGGGGAGCCGGGCCTGTCCTCCCCACCCCAACGAGACCCCAAGTCATCGCCCACGAACGGCCTCTCTGGCTCCTCATCAAGCTGCTCAACGGCCATGATCCCAGAGACTCAGGAGCAGATCTCTAAACCCAGTGGCTTTTGGCAGAAATCCCTCCAGATTTAAGTGTTAAAATTTCGGAATTTCAAAACCACATGGCCCTACTGCAGCCACACGACATCATATATTATTCATAACCAGCAATAGAACACAAATCTATTGTCGCCTTTTCAGCAGATCTGAGTGTTGGGGTAAAATCTCAAATAATGGTGAGTCTGGTGTCGAGATAGTGAATGTGATCAAAGCAGAGAGAGAGTAATGTGGAAATCATCTGCCCCACAGGCAGGGGGAGGGTGTGGGATGGGGGTATACTGGGATTTTTGGTGGTGGAGAATGGGGACTGGTGAAGGTACGGGTGTTTCATTGTATGACTGAGACTTAGACCCAAAAGCTTTGTAACTGCTCTCACGGTGATTCAATAAATAAAACTATAAAAAATGGAAAAAAAAAGTAAGGTGGAGTTCATGCACAATTCAATCAGTTAATCAGTGGCTGAATAAATAGCAGTACTCCTACCAAAAAAAATAATAAAATAAAAAGACTAATTCTCTTTCAGGTTGAGTGCAAATGTCCCCACTTACAAGAGGCAGATGGTCCCCTGAGGCAACACATTTCAGTGGAAAAAGGTTGTCCAAGACCAGGTCTCAGGTCTGTCTTGAGCTCTACGCCCCAGCTGTGTAATCAGAGAGACACCACACCCAGATCCAGCTCCTAAAACTCAGCCCTTCCCTCAGCCAGTCTCCAAAGGACTTCAAAAGCTCTCCCACTTCCAAGTGCTAAAACTAAAACTCAGTTTCCTGATCAGTGACTCATTTTACTTTGACTAAATTCCAGCCGTGCTTAAGTGGCACTTTAGCAGGCAGGAGGAGAGAGTTACCACACCGTCTATCCTGTTACTCAGGTGAAGTGTTTGAGGTCAGGACCGACTGTTCTCCAGAAGCTCAGTAACAATATTTTAGACAGAGACCAGACTCTTGTTCCCTAAGCCATATTACCTCACAGGGAAAATAAATGCATCAGTGGGGTCCGCTTTCACCCAGTTTTGTAAGGTAAAGGTAAAGGCCCTCCCGTTGATCGTCGATTTGCTCGAGGGGGCCCAGTAACGTCTCCATTGGAGACTTTGTTGTTACTGTGTCTGGTATATCGAATACTCTCGGTAGCTTGCTGGGCTCTCCAAGAGGGGCGGAGGAATCGAACTCGGGTCGGCCATGTTGGCCGCTTGTAAGGCGAACGCCCTACCCGCTGTGCTATCGCTCCAGCCTGTTTTGTACGTATTAATATTTTGTTTTTGTTTTTTGTTTGTTCAAGAGTTACATCTGGCCAATCTTGGGGCTTACTCCTGGCAGGCTTGGGGGACTATATGGGATTCCAGAGATTGAATCTAGATCAGCTGCATGCAAGGCAAGTGCCCTCCCCATAGTACTATATCTCTGGCCCCCGAGTTTTGTCTATATCAATGTCTTCACTCCTCACTACAACCTTATGAAACAAGTACTATTTGTTTATATACAAGTACTATAAGTTGTTCCCAATTGTAACATGCTCAAGGACACACAGCAAATGTACTCTCACAACCAATTTCCTGCAGTTGGAAATTCCTGCCCACACCCTGAACCACAGGAAGGGACCCCTTTCTTGCACTCAGTGCAACTACCCTCTGCAAGGTCCATCCCCGGCAGCAGAGCATGTGCAGTCAGTCCTGGTGTTGTCTAGCCCAGAATGGAGGACAGCAGTCAGCAGTCATTTACATGGTCCATTTTACAACCTCATGCCTTCCTGAGCTGATGTCACCCACCCTGATTTCACAGGAAGCCCTTGGACACACCCCTACCAGGCAGAACTGACCCTGGAGCTCATTGCCACGTTCCTGACCATTCGCTCATCCCTCTTCCCTGTCCTTTTTTTTTTTTAACCTAACCTAACCTAACCTTCCCTCTTCCCTGTCCTTTTTTTTAACCTACATTCTTCCTGATGGCAAAATCATACAGACTCAATGGAAAATGAACAGTAGAAAAGAGACTAAGAAACTCTTCCATAATCCTACCTTCCTACCTTCTTCTCCCTCCAGAAATTGTTTGGGGGAGGGGGGTGTTTTGGCGGATCTTGTCTGTTTTTGTGCCCAGTGTCCTGGTGCTGGCCTTCCTTGGGTTTGTATAATAGCAACCTGGCTGGAAGGGAAGCGGGTGGGGTGTCCAGTCCCCTCCCCTCTCTTCCTGGGATAAAGACAGCCTGCTCCCTCCCCACGCTCCCTGAGACCCCACAGTATCCACTGTTTCCTGGCTTTTATCAGTGGGGCTATTCATGGCCTGGGCTAGCAGTTAAGAGCATCCCTTCCTCCTAAAGACCAGTTTCGTTCATAAAAGGGGCTGGAGCCATGGCACAGCAGGTAGGGCACTTGCCTTGCACGCGGCCAGCCCTGCAGATCTGGGTTTGATTCCTCCACCTCTCTTGGAGAGCCCAGCAAGCTACCAAGAGTATCTCGCTAGCACAGCAAAGCCTGGCAAACTACCCGTGACATATTCGATACGCCAAACACAGTAACATCAAGTCTCACAATGGAGACGTTACTGGGCCCGCTCGAGCAAATCGACGAACAACGGGAGGACAGTGCTACAGTGCTACAGTGCCTGTAATCATCACAAGTATTCCTTGCGTTTGTATTTCAGCATTAGGCAGACTCACCCAGAGAGGGTGGTGCACTCAGCACAAAGCACACAGCAGAGTAACCGGGTGAGGAAAGTCCCTCTTGCCACGGAAGGGCAACCCTGGGCATGACTTAACCTCTCAAAGGGAAGTTTTGTTTCCTTCTCCAAGCCTTTGTTTACCCACTGGTAACATGCCTTCCTTCCATTAAATGATGAGCCAGCCCATGACTGTTATCAGTCCTCTTTCAGACCCTAAACTAAGATCTTGCTCAGTCTGGGAAGGGTAAGAGGGAAAACTGGGACTGTTTGGGGCAGGAAAAGGCTAGAATTTGGGGTGAAGGACTGCAACAAGCTAGAGCAAAGGCTACACAGATGCCAGAGAAGCGCCCTCAAAGACCCTCCCATGGTCCCTCTGGGGTGACTCTGGAAGTGCTCGCGATCCCCCAGCCAAGTCTAACACCAGTTTTCAGGGAGTTTCCATGAAGCCGGTCCTCACCAACAATCAGAGGAGGTGGGTGCAGCCGCGCTCACTCCCTGGCGGTGAGGGTAATTGTCCTAACCCTCTTCGCAGCCCCCACCCCCCACCAGTCCTCTCTCCCAAGGCTCCTGGGCAGGACCCCGCCCCCTCCCCTGCCACTCGTAACTCACCCCAGCCTGGGAAGTGGAGCCCCAGGGAGAGCAGCTGCTCCTGGATCTTGCTTCCTGGGGAAGTGCGGCAACACTGTGACCGCTCTTGTAAGCTCTGCCCTCCTCTGCCTCGCTCCAGCCCTCCAGAAAAACAGCTGCGGAAAACCTGGAGCCGAGCCCCTTGCCCCGCCTCGGCCGCACAGCCCAGATGGACACTTTTCAAAAAAAAAAAAAACACTATTCAAAATTGCCAAAATCTGGAAACAACCTGTATCTAAGAAAAAAATTCGAGGGGCTGAGGTGATAGCACAGCAGGTAGGACGTTTGCCTTGCAGGCGGCGCGACCCGGATTCAATTCCCAACATCCCATATAGTCGCCCTTAGCACGGCCAGGGGTAATTCCTGAGTGCAGGAACCAGGAGTAACCCCTGTGCATTGCTGGGTGTGACCCAAAAAGCAAAAAAAAAAAAAAAAAAAAAAAAAAAAAAAAAAAAAAAAGACGAATAAAGTAACTCTGATTCATGTATATAATGAAATACTACTGGCTGACAAATGAGTCACACTCACAGGGATACAAGGAATTGGGGAAATGGGAAGGGAGAAATTAGAGAAAGAAGTACTCTTTTTGCCCTGAAAAAAAGGTTATAATAGAATGTGACTGGATCAGACCTGCTAAAGGGCCAAAGTGATAGGCATCTTAAATAGCCTGCCAGGCTCTGTGTTGATACCCTGCTCATGCAGAGGGGATCAACAGGGTAGAAAGCACTCCTGCTCACCTCCCTGGGCACAAAGGTATACAAAAGCATGTGTGGGAGGGAAGGGGGGAGGAGCTGGAGAGCTAGGACAGGACTGGTAGCCCAGCCCGGCCAAGCTGAGCAGCATCACACCACACAACCTTCAGGCTCTTGCACTAAGCCAATGGCCTACTTGGCCTGGAATAGCCAGTGGGGCCTCTAGACCTCTTGAGCACTGCTTTGGGGGGGTGGTCCCCAAAAGATAAATAGATAGAGCTGTAGATAGGTGGATCCATAGATAGATAGAGTCATAGATAGTAGATAGATAGATAGATAAAACCTTTTGGGGTTCAAACATTCCTGTTCTGTCTCTGACTTTCAATCTTTTTTTTTTCTGTTTGGGTCACACCTGGCGATGCACAAGGGTTACTCCTGGCTCTGCACTCAGGAATTACTCCTGGCGGTGGTCAGGGGACCATATGGGACGCTGAGAATCGAACCTGGGGGTTGGCCGCGTGCAAGGCAAATACCCTACCAGCTGTGCTATCACTCCAGCCCCTGACTTCCAATCTTTGGTGCTTATAGAGAACTAGCATGTGGAGGAGTACCCCTAGGACAGCTGCTGACCCTCGAAAACATTTCTTCCAAGCCCTGCCTCTGGAATGATTGCCCAGCACTGGGAACAGGCTGTCACAGTCCCACTCCAGGCCCCGACCTTTGACTTCCCCTGGTTCCTCTCTAGGTGGCCTTCCCAAGCCTGGCTGCAGGACTCACTGCCTCCTCCCAGCAGCGGCCCACCCTATCCTCCCCCAGCTAACTCCTTCCAGTTGTGTGGTGTCTGCCACACCCAGCATGCTCAGCAACATTCTCCTTTCCTAGATTCTGAAAGCATCTCCCCCCACCCTTCCCCCTGATACCCCTGTCATGGCCTGTCTCTCTATAACTACCACCTTGTTTACTTGTTTCTCCCAAGGTGAGGACCACAGCTCATCCTCGAGCCTGAGCCTAGAGCCCAACAGGAATGAATGTTTGTGGGGTGTGTGTGTGTGTGTGTGTGTGTGTGTGTGTGTGTGTAAGAGAGAGAGAAACAGAGAGAGAGGAGGGGGGAGAGAGAGAAAGAGATAGTGAGAGAAAGAGAAGGGGAGAGAGAGAGAGAGAGAGAGAGAGGTGAACACTGAGCTGCCTGCCTTGAGCTAGTCTATGGGGAACCATTTCACCAGCACCAGTGGCTCAAGGCCCAACCCCACTGCCTGTCTGACAGATGGCAGATGCTCTGCTGAATGCCTGGTATGTTTATGTGAATAGAGCAGTAACAGAGCAATAATGCTGCATGGGTATGGCCATAGGTCTCAGGTTTGCATTGAGCTGGGCTGAAGTCCTGCATACACCCACTGTGGAACCAAGACATGGGGGTTTCACTTGTCTGGTATGCTGCGTATGGAGATTGCCTCCCTCAGACAGGGTTGATGAGAGCTGAATGTCAGCCAGGCAGCCATGGGACCTCTCCCTGAGGTCTCCAGGCTCCGTCATAGAATCCAAACCTATGATAGTTTCTTATTCAGAACAGAGCTGTGAGGGGACCTCCAAGCTCTTCAGCCTGAATGCTTGTTACCAAAAGGAAAATGAAAGCCACCAAAAACTGGGACCAGAATGATAGTACATAGGGTAGGACGTTTGCCTTTCACGCAGCTGACCCAGGTTCAACCCTCAGTATCCCATATAGTCCCCCAAGCACCACCAGGAATAATTCCTGTGTGAAGAGTTAGAAGTGACCCCTGAGCATTGCCTGGTGTGACCCAAAGCCAAATAAATTTTTTTAAAAAGCCACCAAAAACTACTTCCACCCTGAGTTCTAGTTCTAGGGCTCCTACCTCAGTTTTGTTTTTTAGGTTTAAAAAAAATTTTTTTTTAGGAGCCAGAGAGCTAGGGATGAAGGTATTTGCCTTCATGTAGCTGATTCTGGTTCGATCCTGGCCTCATGTATAGTCCCCGCAAATGCACCAGGAGTGATCCTTGAACGCAGAACCAAGAATAAGCCCTGAGCACTACCAGATGTGAACAAAAATAAAACCAAAATAAATTAAACTAAATAATGGTTTAGACTTGTAAAGAATTCCCATAGACCTTGTCACCCAGCTTCCCCAAAAAAAACATCCTCGAAAACCACAGTACAATTACTATGGTGCAATTAACAGTTACCCAATACAATTTATTAATTTATAATCCTTACTTGAATGCCACCAGCTGTCCCTCTATGTCCTTTCTCCGGCCCAGGACCTGTCGCAGAGTTCCAGGGGGCATTTGGTTGTGCCGTCTCCTTAGTCTCTCTACCCTGGAACAGTTGTTCAGCCTTGTCCTTTGTGATCTTGATGGAGTTAAAGAGAGTGTTAAGTATACCTAACTTTCCATGTGAAGCTAATTTATGAGTAAGTTGAATTATGTCTGGGGCAGGTCACTGCATATGTGATGTCCTTCCCAGAACTTTATCCCAGACATTGTTAATTGAAATGATCCCTTGAAATGGAGGTGTCTGCCAGGTTTTTCCATTTACTGTTGATCCTGTTATCAGGGAGAACCTTATGGGGAGGAATTTAAGACTCTACAAATATTCTGTTTCTTGGAAAACTTTTGTGCATTATTTTCAGGTTCCATTTCCAATGATTTTTTTTACTATCCAGCAATATCATTAGTTATTTTATTTTTATTTAATCACTATGAGATACACAGTTACAAAGTTTTTTATTATTGGTTTTCAGTCATACAATGTTCCATGACCCTTCCCTTTAGCAGAGTACATTTCCCACCACCAGTGTCCCAAGTTTCCCTCCCACAACCATCCCCCAGCCAGCCTGCCTCTATGACAGACACTATTCTTCTCTCTCTCTATATATATATATACATGCATTGCAGATGATTTCTGATAATTAATACTGCGGTGTTTGCCAAAAGTAATTTTCTACGTCCATCATTCTGCTTTATTAATTGTAACTTGGCTGTAAGAAAGAGTTTGGTCTGAGGGGCTGGAGAGATAATACAACAGATAGAGTGCTTGCCTTGCACACAGCTGACAACACTTTTGGTTCCCTGAGCTCACCAGCAGTGATCCCTGAGCATAGAGACAGGTGTATGACCTGAGTGCCACAGGGTGTGGTCCAAAAAGTAAACAAGGGCACAGGGAGCTGGTGTGTGGTTAGGGACTGGGGACATTACTCAAGGGCTGGAGTGCATGCTTTGCCTGTGGGAGTGAACCCCAGATTTAATTCCTGGTAGCACATGGTCCCCTGAGCAGCACCAGTGTGGCCCCAAAACCAAAGAAGAGAAAAAGGAAAGAAAAGAAAGACTGGGCCATTCTCTTTGTTCATGTCCTTATTGATTTATGTCAGCATGGACCCATGGGAATTAAGATTTATTCCATTACTAATTTTTGTTGTTCAAATTGACTCATCCTTTTTTGAAATAGCTCAGCCCATCTGCTTCCGATTGAGCAGGTTCTCCCAGTATGCCACATCAAAGGCCTGCCTGGTGTGCCAAACAGATTGTGAGGGTGTATGGGGGACCCAGTTAGTTTCCCTGGAACTCACGAAAGCACCTTCCCAGGAAACAGCTGAGCTCTTTCCTGGAATGGGCAGAATCTGTCGGGAAAGTTGGAGCTGCAGGAAGGGTGGCTCAGCCAGGTATCCCTGTCCTTCCTTCCACCATTGTCATCCCGTCCTCCTCTGCCTTCCACTACACATCAAACACTCCCCAGCCCCTGCCCAGGAGCCACTCCCACCAGCCTCCTGCCCAGCATTTTCCCTGCTTAATTTTCTCTCTGGCCCTGCTGCCCAGAGAGTGGCTGAGAAGTAAAGGGGCTCTGTAATTCTCTCAGGCAGTCTTCACCACCAGGATGCTCTCCTGTGGGTGAGCTGGTGCCACTGAGGGCAGAGGAAGCAGATAATTGTGTTGCTGCAGAAGAACCTGAACAAGGACAGTGGAGCATCCCCAGTTCAGGCAGGTCACAGGGGGAGCTTGGGGACCCCACTTGTTTGCCTTCTGCGGGAGGTGCCAGGACAGTGGTTCTGAGCAAGCAGAAGCCCTGGCGCCAGCAGCCAGCATGCAGCAACAGGGTGTATGTTAGCATGCAGTTAACATGAGTCTCAGGGCCAAAGGTCAGCTCAGCAGGCTTGCGTGTGAAGCCCCCAAACTCCAAAATTAAATTGTATTCTGACATCCTCCTAACATAATGACATTTTATTGTTAATCTCTCACTGGGGAGACTGGGGGATGGTTGGGTCACACCCAGTGGTGCTCATGGCTTACTCCTGACTCTGTGCTCAGGGATCACCCCTGGAAGGCTCAGGGAATCATAT